ACAGCAGGATTGCGTGCTTGGTAATCTCTCTCATCAGTGCACCTGCAAGTCAATCTCACAACAAGCGGTCACCGCCAGGAACGCATCTGATCTAACGCAGATCCCACGCTTTTTGGTTGGGTTCCTGATGTCGCGATGGTCCGGGAATGAGGGGCCTCCCCTGGGCCTTTCCTTTTACGGGCATTTGTTCTGCGATTTTCACCATCGTGGTGGAACGTCACGTTATCGGTTCTCAGATGGCGTCATCAGCCTCTCCTTCCAACCCCACGACATCGCTACGCGGGCTGCGTTGAATGGAACAACATGGACAAGAGCATGACTCTAAACTGATTGGCAATAGCTTTCTCCAATCACGTCGAATGGTTTCGTGCAGGGGAAGTATAGATGTTCAGACTCTTGGTCCGAAGTCGGGTTGAATCCCTAATGCCACAAAACTAGTGATGGCGAATACCTTCGGATGATAGGAGCACCAGGCCTTGCAAAAGCCCGTGGCATGGGATAGATGCGGCTGCGTCCAACTGCAGCTTGTCATTTCTTGGGTCGCAAGAGCGAATCACCGGCTCATACATGTTGCGTGGTTTGTCGTGACAAAATTCTCTCCGAATAAATGGCTGCAATCAATTTTGCTCTATGTGCTCGGCGTCCGCCGTGTCGTAGTAGCCCTATTATCCCTGATCATTTATACCGTCAAAGTTTGAAGACTTTAAAGCTACAGACCTCGAAAACTCATTGCGATGCACCATCATCGTACTTAGGAGAAGCGGAGGTTCTCGCTACGATATAGTGTTAATATCTCAATGATGCTGGCACCTGGTCATCATCCGACCTCTTTTTTAGAGTAATACTCACGTAGGCAGCACTGAATAGAAGATAATGTCCAGGGCGGAATTTAACTCCGAGTGTGATCATCGTTCTTTCGCGTCCTCTAGCTTCTAAATGCTGCCGTGTGCCTACCCTATGGCACATTACCCGGAGTCGGCGAAGTCGTACTAACAGATTCAAAAGACTATGCTCAAATTTACGAGCTCTCAATAGGTTCTAAGATTGAGTTATTCTGAGTTATTAGAGAAACATGGTTACATATAAAGACGAGATTTGAGTTGTGACTTTGAAGATTAGCTACACAAGATGTGTGCTTTGGAGACAGCAGACTAAAAGTATGTTCTAACTCTTTTTGCCCGGCCAAAGTATTATTCTCTTACGGAGCAGTTCGTTTGGACCCAGAAACCAAACACCTTTTTAGGAACTCTATCTAGCATGAGAAAACTTGAGAAAGGTAAGTTTCGAAGTATATTAAGTCTTAGACGTGGACCACTCCACAAGTTCAGCTCCCTACATCTCAAAGCCAATCTGAACATGTCGGAAATGTGACGACTTATTCATAGAAACCGTCAGGTTTTACGAAACCATCAAAACATGGGAGATCTCACCATGTGCCTTGAAAACCAAGAGAGACATCTTGCATCGATGCTTCGCTCCCCCATTTGTTACTTAATTATAACCACCATATCGCGCCGCACATGTGCATCGGGCCAAGGATGTGGAGAGTCAAGTGAAGACTATAGTGAGGGAAAAACGGGCTTCCGACAGCCACAAACAACATATGGTCATCCAAGATTGAACTATCCCGCGTGGAATAGCCGGAAGTGTCTATGACGACTGCTAAGGAAGGTGTTGCTCCTGTGTACCCTATGGCAGCCATGTTTAGTCTCGTGGGGGGTTGGCTAACATCTGCCGAACTTACCCCTCATCTGAATTCGTTCACCCAAACACCAGCCTTGCCAAACCTACCAATCCATGGAGATGCGCGGGTTACACTATTCTTTTCGGCTTTAAACCCGGCATGGCGGTCATGTCGGATTGCCGTGAGCCGTGGGTAGTGTGTCGACGAACCCCAATGTTACTGCAGTGGGTAATTCTCCCTTCAACCACGACAGGCCTAGATCGCATGAGTAGGCATAGGCAAGCTCAGGCAACGTGTGACTCTCGTCGAAAGCACGATACCATTAGATAATTCACAGAAAGGATTTGACAGAGACTTGAAACCCTTCGATCATTCATCATGATCCAGAACGATGGTGTGCCGCATTGCACAACCAATGGCAACTCCCTAGGAGACCTGCAGTGAGTTTAGCTCTGTATCCTCCCATTTCAGCTATTGTAGGGGACATGCTCAAAGAAACTCGTGACAGGAAGGAAGTAGACTACTCATGGGCGGCTCCTCTTCTTGAGCGGACCATTGACGCTGATCGCAAAGTCCGGGTCATCTGCGTTGGCGCGGGTTTCAGTGGCATCGGGGCATCAATTCACCTGCGAGAGCATATACGAGACATTGACTTCCAGATTTACGAAGCTGCGGACGATGTCGGCGGAGTGTGGCATCACAATCGATACGCAGGCGCCGCCTGCGACATCCCAGCTCACAGCTATCAGTACTCCTTCTGCCAGAACACCCAGTGGTCGGAATTCTATGCGCCTGGCCTAGAGATCCACAGATACTTGAAGAGAGTTGTCGATCACTACAAGTTGCAAAGCCTCATCAAGCTGCGTCACAGAGTAGTTGGAGCCGAGTGGTCTCAGGATCGCGGAAAGTGGCTTGTCAGAGTGTTAGATCTAGACAAGAATGAGGAGAAAGTAGATGAGGCAGAATACTTTTTGTACGCCACTGGTCTCTTGTCAAAGCCCAAATGGCCGACGATTGCGGGTAAGCTCACATCCTATGACTGAGAGGCTTTAGATAATGCCCATCAAGGCGAGAACGGCTGGACTAACAAATAGTGAACAGGCCGAGAAAGATTCAGGGGCATTTTGCATCATTCTGCAAATTGGGATGCTGCCAAGGAGGAAGCTCAAGAAGGATTCTCATGGAAAGACAAAAGAGTTGCTGTCATTGGCGTAGTAAGTCGTAGACACAGTCCTGATCGACAGTTCTTCAGTTTCTCTGACCATATTGCGCTTGTCTAGGGGTCTAGTGCAATTCAGATCATGTCACAAATGCAGAGGAAAGCTAAACATGTTACAAACTTTGTAAGGAGTCGCAGTAAGTACACCAATATTCTTCCGCAGGTATTATTGGCAATTTACTTACCAGACAACCATTACCAGCATGGATCTCGTCTACATTTGCCTCGGCCTTTCTTGAACGCCTCAATGAAGGTGCAGGCGCTAGTAATCGTAAGTCGGTACCTTCAGAGATTCAGAAAGTCGAGCTCTTTGATGCTGAAGTCATTCAGATGTATTCTCTCCTGAAGAAAGGGAAAGTTTTACGAATGAAGAGTTCTACTCTCAGTTCCGTCGAGAGTTAGAGAGAGGCCTCAACGCCGTGCACAAGATCACCGAACAGGGTCAACCATTGCAGCTGGAAGCGCGAAGAATCATAGAGGAAAAGATGTTGGAGAAGCTTGCATCCAAGCCTGAGATTGCTGATAAGCTTATACCTGACTTCCCAGTTGCCTGCAAACGCCTCACGCCGGGGCCGGGTACGCTCACCGAAATCTTACTTGCACAACCCCTTCAATCGTCTTTGGCCCATCAAGAACAAAACTTAACTAACACAAGACACTTCTTGCAGGTTACCTCGAGAGTCTAACAGCAGACAATGTTGAGTTCTGTTCTCAAGAGCTAGCATCGTTCACCGAGAAAGGTCTCATGACAGCAGATGGCCGCGAACTTGAATTCGACGCAATCATTTGCGCTACTGGCTTCGTGAGCTACATTTACTATTCAACGCCTCATTTCAGGATTAACACACGTAGAAAGGATGTCTCTGCTGTACCCAGCTTCCCGATCTATGGCTCTAACAACATCAATTTGCAAGACATGTGGGCCACAGATGTCAAACAGTACTTGGCTGTCTGCGTTCCTCAGATGCCTAACTTGTACGTCATTATTGAGCGTTCAAATTCCTTGGATATTGCAGCCACTTACCTGTTTGACAGCTTCCCAATTCTAAGTGTCCAGTCTGGTGTTGGTTCAGGGTCCCTGCTCATTCTGATGGAGCAACAAATTGCCTACGTCACCAAGTGCATTCAAAAGTGCATCCGGGAAGGTTACAAGAGCATTGTAGTGAAGGATGACGCTGTCGAATCATTCCTTCAGTACGCAGACAATTACTTTGACAGGACTGTGTATTCAGGTGAGCCGCTTGTTACCAAGCTTTTTTGCACAAATCGACTGCCGGGAAAGAGACTAACTCCATCTACTATGATTCTCACAATTCAGGCAACTGCAAATCGTGGTACAAGAACGGAGCTTCTGGAAAGGCCAAGATCCGAACACTGTGGCCTGGGTCTTGTCTACACGGGTACACCGCGCTGCGTCACCCTCGATGGGAAGATTTCGAATACGAAAGGGCCAAAGACTATGATCATCGAATGGCATGGCTTGGCAACGGAGATGTCCGACCGGATCTTGATCGTGTGTTCTATTTGGACGAAATTTGGGCGATGCACAAGGTTTGTCCACAACAGGTTTTTACACATTTACTACCCCGTCACTTTACTGACTATGTCGATGGTAGGATCATCCAATGTTCAATGATTGAAGATTAGGGTAGGCATCTTATGCGGGGGTTCACCCGCATATGCCCGCATCTAGGCATGTGTCAAATAAAGTAGAGTTTGCCGGTGGACTTAAGGTTGTTTCAAGACCGGTTCCAGGACACACATGGAGACAGAGAAACTTCTGGGGCAACATGAGTTTGTGTAATTACCTAGAGCAGGAAAGTTTTGTCTGCGGCTCCGTTTGCATGCGGACATCTTTGGACTCCACGGGATTGATTATGCCGCTCAAGGTGACGAATAGTTGTTTATTATCGACAACCAAAATAGCGATTAAAACATCCCAGTACAAAACCTTTCAGGCCAAGACACAATCATGATTCAATTGAGCAAAGCCTCGGGATTCAGAAGAAAAGTGGTGATTATTGAGCGTATTACAACATCCATGACGAACTTACGGTGGTTTATCAACAACAGCTTTGGCCCTCATTCGTTTCCAAATCAGGCCTTGACACACTCAATGACCTGCATCTTCATGTCCAGGCCATGAATCTTCTCAATCTTAAGCCCAGACCTAGCAACAAGCACCTCCCAGTCATTGGCTGTCCGTTCCTTGCCCCCAATTCCGAGCATGCCGAAGTCTGTCATGGCGCCAATGGGCGGGGGAGGGCTCGGAAGGACGTACTCGACGATGAGTACCTTACTGTCCGAACTCATGGCATCCGATAGCTGCGTGAGCATCGTGGCGCAGACATCGTCTCCATAGTCGTGCAGACATCGCCGGATCCAATAGATCAGTGCGTCTGCATGTGTCAGCTGATCTTCACGGACGCGGGCAAGACTTCGATAGCATGTAAACGTACTTCTGACAGGTTGCGCTTTGTGGAAGTCGTGTACCTGGAGGTGTACACCATCGAGCCCCGAATCTTTGAGGCCCACAACCTGTTGAATCACCTCATCTCTGTCCTGGAGAACTATGCGATCGGCTGGAATAAAAGGGTTCTCCTTCATAATCGCCTTGATGGCGTGGCCCTTGCTGCCACCCACATCCACGAGAAGCAGTCTGTCATGCTGCTCAGACAGCTTTGTCTCCACCCAACCAAAGTCGTAAATACCAGTCAGAGGAATGAATGACTGCACCATCTCCATAACTCCCATGAACCTCTTCACCTGCGCAGGGTTCTCTTGGTGAATCTCCCAGATCTCTTTTTCTGGCTGACCGCGTGAGAATGCATAGGGAGTGTGCTGCCGAGTGGCCGGCTCCCGGCGGCCGTACTGTTCAAAGTACTCGGGCAGCTTCAGAGCCGTCATAACATGCTCTTCGAACCTGGCGAACATGTCAGACGGTTGGTCATTGAATGAGAGAATCCACTCAAGTCTCACATCATGTGTAGCAGGAGTTCATTAGACGTCCCGGGAAGATACTGGCGTGATTTCTCTGTATGCGCGATCTTGTCGTCATCCACCTGACGCAACATCCCGCTGGAAACAAGCACCCAGGCTAGCCGTCCTTTATCGCTGTCAATTTCGACATTCGTCGACAGGTTGAGCAGTTGAGTGAGCCGACTTACGAAGTAAAGGCTCATCCGCGGACAGCTTTTTGGCCAACTCAGCATATGTGATAGCGCCCTCCAATGGTATCATGGCCAGGGCGTTCCAGTCAAGGAGCAATTTAAGTCCAGTCAGTTCCATGACACTAATCATCCGGTCCATCCAGTCTGGTGTCGGTCCTCGAGCTGCCGCGAGGATCCTTTGAGCTATGTCAACGGCGGCGCTGTTTTTTTCAACATCGCTTGACGCCGAGCTTGCCAGCTGCGAAAGCTGAGTTTCTAGCGTATTGAAGGTCTTGGAGAGGTCAATCATGATATAACTGCGGTTGAGGTGATGAATCTGGTTCACTGAGACGTGTGTTTGCGAGGTTTTGAACCAGGAGTTGGTGACGAAAACTGTACGAGTCTATGATATCTCTCTCCTCCAATATATATTTACGTGCTACAATGCAAAATGGGCACCTCAGCCTAAGGTCCGGCTTACATGGAGCGGGAACGAATTCACCGAGCGAAATTACCGAGTCCCGGGTAGATCTCGGGAGGCCGATAGTCGCCCCGCCCTGCCGTTATCCCCGCGCCGAGAGCGGGGCCGAATCCTTCGGGCTTTTGGCAAGGGAGCCGCTGTCTCCTTAGTTGTGGAGAATACGCGGGTAACCCCCGAAAAGACCGTAGGGCATTCCCGGAGATGTCCAGCTGTGTTTGTCAGTCGATACCCTCAGCCTCCCGAGCTCCAGTCAGCTGAAGTGCGAATCGCATTCCACAGATGGCTGTCACATCAGCTTACTCAGTGGTTTTCGTCCCATTCGTTGGCCGCCTTTGCCGCCATTCCGGTACGGCGAATAATCGCACTCGCATCGGCATCAAGCTCTCGACTCGATGTAGTCAGGGACATGACCTGAGAACGGCACTACCACGGCTCTGTCTGACAGTCTTCTCGAACAATTCCCGCGTTCCATTCTCTCTCTGCAGCGACCCTGAAGGGAACGGATAGGCCGTGTTCCCGCGCAGTCTGCAACCCAACACCAAACCCCAAAGCCGCGTTTGCCAATTTGCAATTCCCCCCCCCCCCCCCCCCCCCCCCCTCTTCCCCCCCTCCGCCCCCACCCATCCCCCCCGACAGCCCCCCAAAAGGAAACGGTAGGGCCGGGTTCCGGCGCAGCCTGCAACCCAACACCAACCCCCAAACCCCCGTTTCCCATTTTCCAATTCCCCCCCCCCCCCCTTTGCCTCTTGTTCTGCTTCCAGGCGACTCATGAATTGCCAGAAGAGGGAAATGGGTGGTCGAAGGAGGCGACGCATAGCCCATCATGCAGGGTCATTGGGCAACAGAGACCGACGGGGCCAATCTGTTTCTGTCTTGGCAGTCTCTGCTCTGGTCTTCCGGCCTTCCTGTCGTGTTCCGGTTCGATGTTTGTCAATGAACGGAGGGGCCTTGCGTCGCTGGATATGGGTGGCAGCCGATCATCCGTCACGCCTTGTCAGCCGATTAGGCCATATGCGACCAAGACACGCCAAAACCGGCGGCGACATCATCGCTTCCCCAGCTGCACAAGGTATGACCGGCCAAGACGATGCCGCGCATTCCCCAGATGGAGAATCTGCAAGCCACGAGAGGCAATAGGTACCCTGGTGGAGCCAGAGATGCCATACTGGCCTTCGTTTTCGTGGGGATCGGTAGTTTCCTCATACATCTTACCCCGTTTCCCTTAGTGCTAAGGTTAAATCTAGTGCCATTTTGGCGCAGAGCCGTGAGCCGTGGGCCGTCAACTAGTGCTTGGTCTCCGCCCTCGTAACCCTTGCGGCGATCTAGAGCCTGACCCCGTTTGAACCTGTTTGGAGGCCATCCCGGTTACGCGAAGCCCACCAACCTGGAGAGAGTTTCTCCTCTAGATTACCCGAATAGGAAACCCATACATTGGTCCTGAAGACCTTTCCCTGGCTTGTGCGCGGGAGGCTGGGTGATGGGCTCTGGGGTGATGAGTTGTTTGCTGCATTTGAGTGCCCAGATCGTCGGCAAGTCCCTGTAAGCCATCGGCGAATGACAGATGTCGTCGCGCCTGAAGTTCTTTGACTCTCTGACTCGAATCGTTGGTGAAGAGGTGTGGTGGTGCAGACCAACCCCAAAACGGTAAGATGGTGAGAAGAAGACAGAGCCTCAACCCTGCGGTCTTCCCCCATTGCCACACATTGTCCGGAGGGAGGTCCTTGGCATGGGAATCTCAACGTCTCCAAACGTCTCACGATTTCGTTAACAAACGTTGCCGCTCAGACATGGGGCTCCTTGTGCCTTTCCCAAATGGTAGCTGCAGTCGACTTTGTGAGACGACTTACACGGCCGAGTTTCGTTTCATCTGAACTTCAACGCTCGCAAGCGCGCACAACTGACTATTTTCCTCCCCACACCAACGGCAGACATAACACAAATTCGCACACACTTTGACATGGCGCAATCCTGGATCAGTCAATACGCCATGGAAACTAGTGCTGCTCCCCTCAACTCAACGACGACAGCCAAGATGATGCAGCTGACTTGGACGTGAAGACTGGGCCCAACGTGGCACGTAATCCGTGCCCCTCCTCCACCACAGAAACAAGGGAGGGCTCTCGAACACCTTGAGACGTCCGAAGAAACTGCCCGCAAGCCGTGGTGCCGTTGGTCTGGTGCGATAATAATATCCACACCTCTATGGTTTCCATCGTCTCAGGCTCCGGGGGCTGTGCGTATATTGGGCCTATCTTGGTGCAGGGGACTTAGAGTTGCTGCCGAGGTGAACTCACCAAGATGTGCTTCACTGCTTTTGCCCGTGGCATATGAGGTCAGCGCGCAGCCATCCGGTCACTCATATATCAGCTTGATAGTTCCCGGCTCACAATCGGGGATGAAAAAGCATCCTCATCCATCAAACCTTGTCAGCACAGACTTTTCCAACGCTTCTTACTTATATACTCCCGGGTTGGAGACTTGTTTCTGCATCTTACTCTATTCTCTAATCATCCCTTGATACCACAACAGATCACTCTGGCTAGTGACTTATTACCAAAATGCAGCTGACCAAGACTCTCCTCTTCGCCCTCGTCGGCACCGCCTTCGCCTCCCCCATCGAGAAGCGTCAACTCTCCGTCATCCAGGGCGCCGTCACCTCCGTCCAGGGAGCTCTCACCAAGCTCAACACCGCTGTCCAGGTATGTTAGTCCGAAGATCGGGCATACGGTACCGTCGGAAAGCTTCGGCTTCGATCTGGTGCAGAGATGGGATATGCAGGAACATAGCACACCGGACATTTTGACTAACATGCATGCTTCAGGGCGTTGGTAACGATGTTGCATCTGCACAACCCATTCTGGCTGCCTCCACCGAGGTCCAGAACACCCTGTCAAAGGCCGCCACCGACATTCAGGGTGCTCAGCCTCTTCAGCTTCAGGAGGCTCTCGGACTTCAGCAGACCGCTACCGATCTGACCTCGTCCGCAACCACCTTGATCGACACTCTCGTCTCCAAGAAGCCCAACTTCGACCAGATTGGTGTCTCCAGCGTTGTCCTCCAGAACCTCCAGCAACAGAAGACCGCCTCCGCCAGCCTCGGAACCGCCATTGTCTCCAAGGTTCCCGCTATCGGCCAGGGCATCGCACAGCAGAGCATCGACCAGATTACTGCCGCCCTCGACAAGGGCATCCAGGCCTACTCCGCTGGTGGTGCCGCTCCCGCTGGTGGTGCGTAGAGCACCCCCCCTCCGTCGCGCGCCGTCCCCCGCGCCTCCCCCGTTTCCGTCCGTCCGTCCGAGAAGTTAAACATAATCGAATACTAACCATGGTACTCTTGCTTTCCAGCCAAACCTGCAACTAACACCACTGCTCCCCCTGCTGCTGCTCCCGCTAAGCCCAAGACTCCTGCTGCTGCCCCTGCTGCCCCAAAGACACCCGCTGCTGCTCCCAAGGCCCCCGCTGGGGGTATTGAGGGTCTGCTCGGTGGTCTTCTCGGTGGTGGTGCGGGCGGTGCTGGTGGCGCCGCCGGCGCCGGAGGCTTGGGTGCCCTCCTCGGAGGTCTCACGGGAGGTGCAGCTGGCGGTGCGGCGGGCGCTGGTGGCGCTGGAGGAATCGGTGCCCTTCTCGGTGGTCTTACTGGTGGTGCGGCTGGAGGTGCGACGAAGGCGAACGTGGTCGATTTGGCAGAAGACGCAGCAGAGGAGGACGAGGAATAAAGTACAGACCGGGATACTCCTTACAGCTTGTTTAGCCTGTAGCAAATCATCATTGAGGCTTTCTTTCACCATCACAGTTACCGATTAAATTGTTCCTTTCGTGATGGGTCTCGTTCTTTATTTCAGCGACTGTTCAATACTTTGATCATCGTTTACGATCGTTACGACTTAGCTATACCGTGCTAGCCATGTTTGACACATCAACATCTACGGCCGGCCTTGACATTGCACATGTTGAGTCAGGATGCGCGCTGGGTCACCGCTCGTTCGAATATAGCAGAACTCAGCGGCCTCCTTCGTATCGGAGCAATACTAGCATCAATGTCTATGTTGGACGTTACCTGACGTGCAGTGGGCAGAGCATTGCCAGATTCCCCGGATTTGAGCACTTAGTGAAACATATCTAGCGTCGATCTTACGACAGACCCAGCTGCAAACCTCACGTCGCAGCGGCATAGCCTGGTTTCGTAGATCTCTCCACTGGATCCTCGTTTGCTTTCTTTGGCGAGAGAAAATCACACTACGCAAGCTTACCAGGCTTTGGGCCCCCGCGTATTGGCTAACTTGGCGAAACCTTACTCACGTATGTCAACAGCCTATAGGGCTGTCATGCGCGGCAGGCCAGTCGCCTTTCTCAACTTTTATCTTGTGATGCCGCGGCGCCCAATGGTGGTTTGACCACCCACCCCTGACAGCAGCTGACAATTGCTGGTATTTCAACATCAAGACAACGCTAGTCGTTGAGTATGTTATGATCAAGAAGAACTTATGCCGTTCGTCTTCCCCGCAGAGCATTCTCGTGACAGAACTTTCCCCGCGTGGGATCAAACCCTTTTGTTAATTACTCCTGTCTCTGATAACCACAACGTCACTGCCAATAACTGCAATGACGTTCCCCAGGTACACATGCCAACCGATCGACCGCGCGCTAGCATCAAAGACGGCGTGTCACCCAGATCCGGTTTGCGCTTCGGAGGATTGGCGACGCTCCCGTGATCCCTGGCAGCTCGATGTTACATGGTAGACCTTGAACCGAATACTGACAGGGCGAGAGGGCCAGGGTCCCTAGTCAACCGAGACGTGTCTCTGGCACTCGGAGCCGCTGCTCTGCTGACCCAATCGCATCTCGATCCTGGACTCGTCAGTCGATCCTTGTTTTCTTTCACGTCTGCATCTTGTCAGCACCCTACTTAGTGTGCTAGTTCTCTTACGACAACCCTAGAAAGCTGTGTTTGATCCTCACGATCAACATCATGAAGTTGGTCAGTCTCTAAGGGGCTCAGCCGTTTCGGCGATCGAATCCTACGACGCACAACTATAAGCGTGAAGTATAGGCATACTATATGCATATTTGGAATGAGGTAATATACCTGCTACATTTTCTCACGCGAACACTAGGTATGAATAGCAGACTCTCATGATGTTCAAAATTGCGTAATTCCGATGTCATAAGATCATGTTGGTAACAACCTCGGTTCAGCTTTTTGGCGTTGTGACCCCCGTGCCTTACTCCAGGGATCCAGAATCCAGTAGGGCTACGAAGTGTGTACAATTCAAGTCTATTGTGGTTGAGAATTTGCGATACTTGCAGTAGGAATGAGAATCCAAAGTTTTGAATTATTTCATGGTCTAGTAACTTCGAACTCTGCGACACAAGTGCAATCGCATCAAGAACGTACAATATCCTCATCAGAGATGAAATGTGAACCTCCTGCGCACCGGAACCCCGTACTCTGCTTGATCCACTCAAAATTCATCGGGCATCGGCCCATCATCGCGGCTTTCTTGCGCTGCTCTTCTTCTTTCTTCCGTCGCTCTTCTTCCTCAATAACCTCCTTGAGAATTGCCTCCCTGGCAGCCCCCACTGCTTTGCGCTTCTTCTCGAGCATTTCTCGGTACTTGGTGTCTTTTCCCTCTTGAGCCCTCTTGTCCTTCTCCAATTGTTCCCAGACTTCATCGCTGACACCAGCATCGCGTGTTGCTTTCCGACTGTCGTCACTGACTTCCACCACCGGACACTCGGGAGGCGCTGATTCTGCTTCCTCTTCAGTGGCTTCGGTGGCGGTTTGTGCATAAGCTGTTGGTTGCAAGCTTTGTGTTCGAGGGGGTAATGACATCTGCTGGAATAATTGCTCGAGCTTGGGCACGCCACGCATAGTCCCTGCCTGCTTCTCCCGGCTTTCGCGCTCATCGAGCATCTTGGAGAATTCTTTCTTCACAAGATCTTCGTCGATTGTCACCTGTCGGTCGCAGCGAGACTTGATCGCGATGTTCATGATTGACTTGGCAAGGCTTTCCACATCTCGAGCGCTAGCCCATCCGGCGGTTGTGGTGAGTTTGTGAAAAATGGCGACAATTCCCCTCTTGAAATCTGGCGATGGACTTGATAGACAATCCATTACGAGATTATTAGATGAATTCTTGCTGTGAAGAGTTCGCTTCTTCTTGAGTAGAATCTGCAGCAGAAGCTCGTAGCAACTCTCGGGGTTAAGGCTGTGGAAGTCGATGACTTCTGGGAACCGACTTGACATTCCCGGGTTGACTGAAAGTAGTCGATTGATGTCCTCGTCGTATCCAGCCAGGATTATTACAAGGCGATTCTTGTACTTATCCTTCGTCACCGAGTCGACAACCTCATCAATTGCCTCTTTGGCATATTGTCCTTCCGCAAGACGGTAGGCTTCATCGACAAACAGTACTTTTCCAAGAGCCTTTTCCAGGAGTTGTTGCACTTTAGGGCCGGTCTGGCCCGTGTATTCGCCGATGAGATCGGATGCAGAGCAGTCAATAACTTCTGCCTTAGCCAAGAACCCCATATCGTAGAAGACTTTGCCCATCTTTTTCGCTGTTGAGGTCTTGCCCGTACCTGGAGGGCCGCGGAAGAGGAAGTTGAATGGAATACTATCCTTTGGGTCCATATTCAGTGCCTTCATAGAACGTACTGTCTCCTGGTATCCCTCAAGGGTGGCGACAATCTTCTCGCAACCAACGGTCCCCTCGAAGAGTTTGGCAACATTGGTCTGAGCCCGATCTGCGCGGTCAAAGTCGTGGTCAAAGTCCAGAGCTTCAAGTGTAGAGACGTGATGGCTTTCTTTAGCTGTCAGTCGTCGCTGATGACGTGCCTTTGCCTCGTTCAGGAGATTGTCCACTTCTCCTGCATTGCCGAAGTTCGGTCGGTTGCGGGCCCTTTCGAGCATCTCTGAAGCGACTTGCTTGGCCTGATCAGTGGCAGAAAATCCTTGTAACTTGAGTTTGAGGTCCAAGATCTTCCGCATATCTGCCTTCTCGAAGTCTTCGAAGACAAAGGCTGACGACAATGGAAATCTTCGACTTAGGCCCGGGTTGACATTTTGCATCATCTCCTCCATCTGATCCTTGTAACCCAGAAGAAGAACACACCGATCTTCTCCTGGAACACTTTGGACCTCGGCAACGATGGTATCTACTACAGCAGTCTTATAGGGGTCAGAATTCCCCCCAGCTGAGTTACTGCCCCCGTACAGTCCGTAAGCCTCGTCAATGACGAGAACTTTACCGACGGTCGACGCTAATATGCCTTTGGTCTGGGCCTCGGAGCCTCCTAGTACAGCACCCGTGAAGTCCGCCGGGCTTTTGGCAATCACTGTGAAGTAACCATGTCAGCATAGGAATTCCTAGTTACTTCAGGTACACCAGCTTACCCTCTCCATTCGATAATAGACCTAAGTCAACCAGGATCTGCGCGTACAGCTTGGCGACAGTGGTCTTTCCCGTTCCTGGCGAGCCGAGAAAGACTTTATTGAGCGTAAACTCGATGATGGGCTCTTCCGCCAGCTCGCGAATATAGTTGGTCTGGATGCTATCGATCAAGGCTCGAACGGATTCTTTGACTGAACTCAGGCCGATCAAGGTCTGCAATTTCCCCCAAGCTTTGCTGTGCTCGAGGGCAACTGAAGGTTCAGGTCCAACCAAATCCTCTATTGTGAACAGGAGATCGTCCGGGTTCGCGCCCTCTTGATGGGCCTTTCGAATTCGATTGGCCTGCCGGCTGGAGACAATGGAAAGGAGATTTTCAATTGCTCGCGCATTGCCAAACCCTTCCTTTCCGCGCCCTCGTCCAAGTCTACGACAGGCGACGCGGAGATAGAGATCATCTTCCCACTTCATGCGGCATCCGTACTTCTTGTCAATCTGGAACTGAAGGATCTTCAGAAGCTCGTCATCGTCGTAGTCGTCAAACTTCATCGCAATCGGAAACCGACTTGAAAAGCCAGGGTTGTGCGCGAAAAAAGACTCCATCTGTTTGTTGTACCCAGCGAGAACGAAGACAATCTTGCCGGTATGGTTCTCAACTTCCGCGAGCAGGAGATCAAGGACTGCGCGGCCACCAGGACTATTGCCTGAGGATAGTTGATATGCTTCGTCAATAAAGATTACACCACCGCCGTCATTCAAAATGTCATCCAACAGCTTCTGGCAGCCAGGCACACCCAGAGATGCTAGTTTCGATCCAGACGTCTCTTCGAAGCGACTGCCAGCTATGACACCCACCGACACCAAAAATTTGGCAAAGATCCGTGCTACCGTGGTTTTGCCTGTGATCAACATATCAGCCACCGAATAACACTAATTGTCACTGCGATTCAGCCTTACCTGTTCCGGGATTTCCCAAGAGGGAGCAGCCAAACCTCTCTGTCGACAACGAAATCCCCTGTCTCGCCGCCATGTCGACTTTGGACTTGATGGAGAGAAACTCCTCTTTGATGCTCTCGAGCCCGATCATCTTCATGAGTTGATCCATGGCACTGCTGCTAGCACCGAGTTTCGACTTCAAATTCAGCCACTCTTCCTCTGCGCTTCCGGGTTTTGGGGCTGGGCTCGCTGTATGTTTTCGTTCATCTGGAAAAGCACCCGTGCCCGGAGCTCTCTTGGGAGCTTCTCTGGCAGCCTTCATAGTCTCAGCACGAGCCCTCGTCTGCTGCAGAGCTCTCAGTTCTTCTTTGCGTTCTTTTAGAGTCTTATCCTGCTCGAGGTCCTCTTGTTCATTCTTCATAAGTCTTCTCTCACGATCCAAGTCGTCTTCTACCTGTTGTAGGTCTTGAGCGTATTTCTTCTGCGCCATATCGCGATCCACTTCCATCTGCAAGTCGCGCTTCAAGCGCCTCCGAGTAATCTCATCCTCCCTGGAGCATTCGATGCATTTTTTAGTTTGGTTGTTGCAGTCAACGCTGTACGTATGTCCCTTGTCGCAGTGTTTCGCGAGCTTTGTGTGACAACGGATCTTGCTGTGATCCATAAGTCTATGGCACCGGCGAAGGCACTTATGTATGTTGCAAGACAACATGACGTTACTACATGCAAGTTTCGTCTATTAGCATAGGTTCTGCTTTTACGTTAAATTGAGCTTCTTTGTGAGACTTACCAGGCTTCGTCGCAGCCGCCTTCAGGACACTTGGTATCGAAGTCGTCCGGTTCTTTGAGCAATGCGGTCCTGTCAGGGTGCTGTTGACAGCGGATTGCGAACCCATCATGTAGATAATTCTTCTCCTTCAGTAAGGTGAAGAAAGGCAACCAGACCGCTTTTCCGTGCCCAGATGCCATGAAGGTCTCCATATTGCCCAGGAGAATGAGGCACTCTCTCGCACGAGAACATAGAACGTTGAGCCGCTCGGGCGCTTTCATGAATCCGATGTCGCCATTATTGTTGCTCCGAGTCAGAGAAACTATGACGATGTCGCTCTCGTCGCCCTGGTAGTTATCTATATGCAGAGATAGGTCAGACTCTAGTCTTCAGACTTCACTGGCCGAAAGTCTCTTGAACTCACCGATAGTCGAAAGTTTGATTCTTCCTGATCCTGATCCGTCAGGCACTTTTCCGGCGGCAGCAGTCATGAGTCCCGCGCGAATGAGCTCAAACGAATCTAAGTCATTGAGCCAAGGGTCATTCTGGGAGCTCAAGGTTTCTCTGAGTAGGCGCAGTTGTCCCAGATATGGTGTGAGAATGACGAGGTTTTCAGTGCGATATCCTTGCTGCCCAAGGTATTTGACTAGCTTCAGAACCATCCGCGCTTCATAAAGATTACTCTTGCTAGAGACAACACCGACGTCGTGGCGATCGGTAATATCGCCGGCCAGGTCTTCTGGGTGGCTGTGGTTAACGAAGCTGACCCTTCCCTGAAATCCCTTAGGAGGCTTCCGATCCTTGGTCTTGTCACCGTCCAATAGATCCGGGTATGTCATCTTCCGAACAAGATCCGAGATATCGGGATGCATGCGATGCTGCTTTCGGAGTGTGACGTGGTCGTGTTCCTGGAGTATCAGTCGTTCAAAGAGCGAGCGATTGAGATCGAAGCCGTCTCCCTTTTCGACGCTTAGAGCATAGTTGTTGATCTTGGGTCGCAGTTGTTTGTGGTCCCCGATTAGTAGGAGCTGCTTTGTGTCGCTGTGCAAAGCAGTCAAAACGTGAGCCTCGAGGATTTCACCAGCCTCTTCAACCAAAACGACATCGGGCTTTGCAGCCTTGATCAGCGACTTGTACATGGCAGCTGCGGTTGTTGTACATCCGATGACTCTCTTCGTTTGCATAAAGGAACATTTGGACTCTCTGAACAGCCTGTCCACTTGCTCCTGGGCGCCATTGAATCTCTTGATGAGGTTCTGGACTGCTTCGATTCGTTCCTTGCGAACGCACTCGACCCACCGTTGGATATGTGCATTTTTCTGGGCTATTGACAAGTACCAGATATCGTGGCTTCCAGGCGAGACGAAGTGTCGGAGTTCACCGGCATCTTGTCCCATAATCCACCGGCCCAGCAGATAGTCGGGACCCATGACCCTGTTACTTTTGCCTGCGATATGAAAGCCTCCGTCTTGCTCGGGTAAGAGAAAAGCTTCATAAAATAGCTGGTCATCGTCGGAGAACTCGAGAAAGCTCAAGAGCTCCAAAGAGCCCACCTTGTGCCGGACGAGAAGGTCGTATGCCGACTCCATCTCTCTTCGAACTTCATCTATCTCTGCTTTCATGCCGTTGATGTGTTCCCACGTTGCATTATTTCGACGGTAGGCGTAACTTCGCAATTGCTTCTCCAGTGACAGGGCTGAAGTTAATTCGGTTGACTTCGATCCTAAGCGCACCATATCACCAGATGAAATGCCAATTTTCATCAGGTCCTCGAGGAACTGATCCAGGGCATGGTTGGTGTAGCTCAGCACCAGAATTCGCTTTTCCGGATCTCCCAGCAGTATCTTAGCTGCCAAAGCGCCAACGAACGACTTTCCAGTTCCTAGAGTTCGGTTAACTTTGTACATATCTAAAGTGTAATATGTCTGTCTTTATTTGAGTTGACTGAGGGTAGCGTACCAGGAGGGCCTTGGATGAGTGCCAAAGGGCTCTGTAACGCATGCAGCAACGATTGAAGCTGAGAATCATCGAGTCGGAAAGTCTGCGTGCCCAAGGAAAGGCAGCGTGATCCACTTTTCATCATATCTTCCAATCTTCTCACATATTCTTGGACGTAAGAGGTTTGCTGAAGCGAGTCTTGTGGTTGACTTTTCTCGTCGTTTGGAAGTCTCAGAAGCCTCTCTCCGAGAGGCAACTCTGTTAATTCCTGAAGACACTCCAGAACGGGTTGGTAGGCAAACACCGGAGTATCTACAAGAACGAACCTGAGATTGTTTGACGGTGTAAGTGCCTGCAAAGCTCTTGCAGTAGCTTCGCTGTCAGTGAACTGCAGGGTGACAATGGGGGGCTTCTTCGACAACTGGTCCACATCCCGTAGCAGGAACGCGAACGCGACAATATGGTCTTCGCCACACAAAGCGCCGAAAGACTGGTGTCGAAGGAAATTTCTCTGATCATCAAAGAAGGCCTTGCATTTGGCCGGCGGTAGCTTCTTTATGATCTCCAGTCCCCCGAGGCATGTAAGCGCGACCGCACAAGCACGGCTTCGCCTGTCGTCGCCGGTGTCAACGCCAACAGGCATCAACCCTGAGAGTATCTGGGCCCTCTTCTTGCTCTTCTTTCTTCCCGTAGCTGCTTTTAAATCATCACGGAGTTCGCCCAGCATGTCTTCACGAAGAAGGCGGAACTGGTTATCCAGATGAACACGCGGTCGCTGAACCTGATCTGCGGCAGCAACCTCGGCTGCCATTCGATAGAAAGGTCTGGCATTGGAGTAGAACTCGTCGCTCGTTGGAAATATTGAAATATCTCGAAAGTTCGAAGAGTCATTGTCATGGCGGCCACCGGCTGCCTCGAGGTTCTCGTCGCCAGAAGATGATCTGAGAGCGAGTACTTTTCTGATCCTGTAGACGAGGTCGCGAGTCTCATGGTTCCGAGCCTCGCGAAACGGCTTCTCGTCTAAGGCGTTCGTGACGTCCTCTACGATAGTATCGATTATACTATCGGAAAGACCGGAAAGCTCGAAGCAGAGCCACGCAAAGACTTGAAGCTCGTCTTCGGTAAGTTGGAACCCTTGGAAAGCGCTCAGGAGGTTTTTCCAGAGGGCTGGCGGGTGGGCGATGATGAGTAGGACTTGGTGAAAAAGCTGTCCACCGTACATCATCTTCACCTCGGGGTCGCTCAAATAGGCAATGAATGGTATAACATGTGCCTTCATGAAAGAGATTGACAAATCGACCCGGATGCTGTTGCTGATGGCATTGCGTGCAACCTCACTAGCCATGATGATCTCCAGGCAGGCGGCGGGAGAGGTGTTCGTTCGAACTGCCTCAAGGAACAGACGTGCCTCGTTTACCGTGGAAACTGCTTTGCCACCTTTGGTGACATCTCTGAACACTTTCAAGAGGCGGGAAGCGCGAGCAGGATCAATCTTTTGAGTGGCAATGACACTCTCTGACTTGAGCAGGACCATGATTTCGTTCGTAAGGAATTGATGGAAAAGAATTTAGCGATTCGCAGAACTTTCAAGCTCAAATTCTGGAAGCATATGACGGTTTGCAGTGAATAAATGCCGAAAGAGGTGACTCGATCTCGTTCTCAGTGCAGTAGTCACATGCCACGGTTGGTCCAAGTATAAGTAAGTAAGTCAGTAAGGTTAGGCTTCGACGTTTTCTGTTGGGAGCCAACACGTTGGGGACCTAGAGTAATAAGAAAGTAGAAATACCACCAAGAGTAGGCGTTCGTCTCGAAGATTGGGTCGCGAGATGAGGGGTTGTAGGCCTCCGGCATGAAGGCTGCAAGAGGCCGCCTCGCAGCTCGATGACTGGTTCGCCATCCACAGAGCGAGCCGCCATTAAAAAGAGGTTAAAACTATTTCGTCGTTTCTGATTCTTTCATAGTTCCCATCTAGTTCCCTGGCGCTTCAAAGTCCTCCGTTCCTGCACCAAGTAATGTATCGACGACAGAAACATGACCAGCTTCAAAGAAACCCGCGATGGCGGCGGTCAGATCCTGCGACGACATGGCCGGCGCCACCATTCGGGCCACTCGTAGAGACTGTCAGTGTAGCAGAACTGTCTAAGCCTGCCTTGGAGTTTGAATCAACTGCCCAGGTGACGGGCTGCCAGCTTGTAGCGTCGTATAACTGGCTGGACAGGACATCGCCGTCAATAATCGTCCCAGGTGAGTAGTGCTACTGTACTCGTCCGAGGGCATGGTGGTATTAATGAATTCAGGTGCGCCACCCAGATGGACACCCCTCGCGGAACCTCGACAACTGTCAGAAGACGACTGTGTCTATTACCGTGACAAGAACGCTGCTCGACACCCAGCTCATCCGATGGAGCCCGCCATCCAAGCTATCCTGATGGCACACCCCGAGCCCTCTCCCAGGCCCGTTGACATCGTTGCCTGCGGTAGTACCATCGGGAACTTGCTCCGCTTCATCCGAGGTGACGAGAGACCCTTCCGGATGCTCCTCGAGGTGGTTGGCGATGCTGTCCACCTAATCCGTAGGGAAAATTCCCCGAAAGAGACAATGTCTGATGTCAGGGGCTACGGACACAAGTTTCCAGAGGCTTACACGACTTGGGATTCTGAAGTCCGTGGTTCAACATCACATCAGCGGATCATTCAATACGACTTTGGGGGGCTTCGTTGCCTTGTTCGTCACGAGGGTGATGGCTACCTCCAACATAAACAAGGCTCCTCTACGAACGATACCCGCACCGCCTTTGTTGAAAACGTTTCAGTCGATAGCCTGATCGAAAACCTCAAAGTCAAGGAGACGGCACCAGGGAGTCCGCAAGACCAATCTCAGCAAGTACAACTGAAGAGTGGCGGATTTGAGGTGCCCCAATGTGCAGTTTTTGATCTCAAGACTCGGTCAGTCAAGCGCAAAGGCAGTGATTTCCTTGGCGAGGAACTTCCGCGTTTATGGGTTGCCCAGATTCCTAACTTCATCCTGGCCTACCATGATAGGGGCACGTTCAAGGATATTGAGGTCATGGATGTGGTTCAGGAGGTCAAAGCCTGGGAGACATCGAAGAACCCGGAGCTCTCTCGACTAGCGGCGCTCCTGTCTCACATTGTCCGCCTTGCTCGTGCACAGAGGAATGACAGGCTTGAGCTCAGCCGCCAACATCTCGACAGGCTCGAGATTCGGAACCAGTGCCCTGGACTATCTTCCGCATTCTCTAGTGAAGTCAATGATGAGTGGGCAATGTGGCTAGCTGGAGATGATACACAGGATGGCCCGAGTACGGATGGTGAGGATGGACTTCAGTGGAGCGATGGCGAAGGTGACTACACAGCCTGTTCCGAGAGCTGTTCATACTGTGGAAAGTGTACGTATTGATAATGGCATTTCCTTCCAGACTTACAGATTGGATACTATATGAAGGGTATTGTAGTTCCTGTCGAATATATTGCGATGATTCAAAGACCTGTGCAAGTTAGCGTTGTCTCCTCAAGGATTATCACGGCAGTTTATGTAGGAGAAACTGCAGTGCTGATGGAAGAAGTGACCACATCCCTAGTCTTGCTATCTTTGGTTTCGTTGTGCATGGTGTTTTGGGACTCTACCATTCTCTGAATCTCAACTGGTCACTGATAGATTCTCCCTGGCCATTGACCTGGTAAGTTCTGTTGGTGGTGTCGCGAACAAGGTATCGTTGATATGGTGGGATGTGGTGGTTGATTGAGGGTCGTGATGCTGTTCTGGGAGACGATTGTTGTGATGTTAGTCCTGAGAGGCGGGGATTCAGGTGGGATCAATCACAAGGGGCCAAGGTAGCATGATTTTGGTCAGATCAGCCTGCCTAATCCCCACTTCCCCTGGTATGAACTGCATTGAATACACCAGGAGCGTTGAGGGTGGCGGCGATAAAGAAGGGGATACAGCCAAGGTAGTGATGATACTGGCGACTGGTCGTGTGCTTTACCGCCCGTTAGGTCTATGTGCGTATACTTTCTTGTGATCAATCACGCAAGTACGGCAAGCACATAGGCATTACTCTGTGATCACCGAGTACGGTGGTCAACTGCGGGCCAAGCTACATAATGCTGTGCAGCAGATGATCGACGAGTCTTGACCGTGAGTGCCGCCGCCGGCATCCCAAGTGGGCTGAAGTCCCAAGAATCAAATTATATCACCCGGGTGCCCGCAGGTCAAGCACCATATCTGATGCCTCAAGACATCGCCGCTAACACCATTGGTATTGACTTTTAGAGCCTCACGAATATCCATCAATACACTAGCTATGGTTAAATGTTGTCAGCCACTGCATTGTTGGTAGGATAAGAGTTGGTGCTTACTGTCCATCGTTTAGGTTGCCGTGATCATTTCAGGAAACCCGTTAAGGTCAGTCGACGTTTCTGGGTGGACGAGAGGAAAGATGCGTGCATCGTTCCCTTTTGCCTTCGTGGCCTCATGGTTGAGTTACCTGCGGACTTCGTTGACCACGCTAGCTGGGCACGAATGGTTATGTACTATGGAAAGCGTAACTCCTCGGAAGACTTCACTGAGGTCGACACTCAACCTAGGGTCCAAACAGTGGCATGGCAGATGACAGAAGAGAGGCTAGTAATTCCAGTAAATCCCTTTCCGCTTCATCTGAGCTTGGAAGACATCGATATATCCAGCGCCTGGTACATTGACTCGGTGGATCGAGGCAGAAGGGATCGTCGTCTCCCAATCACATCTGCAAGAGTTACCGTGCTAGAGGTCACCGGCTTCCGCAATGGTGTAAAGACTTTGGCTGCTCGGCGATATTTGGGGATATGAGCCATCAGCCGCTTCTGGCCGCCGTAATCGTTTTCACTAGATTTCTGTGCTTATGGATACGGTGTGGTCGGAGATGATGTAAAGAGTTCTAGCGCATTGTTTTGAGGGAAGCCTCCACGCGCGGTCGTGAGAGCGCGTTTGAGTGGGTCGAATTAACGTCGACAGGTAGGGCCAGCAGTTGGGGTAAACAAGCGGGTCAAGGTGAGCTTGGTGGGATTCGGTGAAGGGGGCTTTACTGAGATGATCACCAATTTATCCCACCATGTGGGTGAGCAGAATGGCGGGGTAAGCTGATAGGAGAGTCAACAGCTGTTGCCAGAGAAGCAGACCACACTCTGGCTTGCGATAGTCCCGTTCTATTCCGCTTATGCTAGAGGTATGCGGTTTCCCTCATACGCAGGCTCGCTCTACGAGCTGTAAGGGGCTAGGATCCTCGTCAAGAGAGAGCCCAACCGCTACCGGGTCATCTGACCCTACTTCCCTAATTCCCTAATCAACTCCTATATGGTTTACTCGATTATGCTGTTCATAGAAGTCCACAGGATGCGCCTATGGTCAAGCCTCATCGGCCTATGACGTCTGCCAGTCTCGGGTGGCCTCCTGCATGCGAACCGAATCAACCACTGTGGAGCGTGAACTTGACTTGTCTCGACGCTCATACCAGAAATGTCATGAATGGCTGAAACATGGACTCTGATAAGACGGCTATGCCAGGCCTTGTTCACCCCTCCGACAGGTGCCTTGGCATAGCAAAGTTGGGACATTTCCCATACCCTGGGGCTCTTGGGGTTTTTCTAAGCGCGATGGCAACCTTAATCTTCCATCACGACACCCTTGTACAATACCGGTGGGGGGCTCCGGGCTTACTTTCAAGGCCTTGAAATGATATTCGGCCAATTTCAACTCACTTTCTACGTGATTTTTCTCTGTTTCGGCTTGTGAAGGGCATTTCTCAATTTTTTCTCTTTCAATTTTATAATCTCAATTCCAAGAGCCAATGACCTACTGACTGGGTAACTCACCAACTACAACCAGGATCGCTGTCCAACGCAGAGTTCACCTGAGAGTAAGGCTCGACTTGGGATACTACTCCAACAATTGTAGCAGGAGACGGCTCAATAGAAAATAGCAAATAGCTACGGGCCAACGTGACGGACGAGCTGTGGTAGTGAAAGGCACAGCCTTTGGCCCCTCATGTATGACGCGCAGCAAAGCAACTCGCCCCTTAGTAGCCAGCTACTCAACATTCCGACCATGTCAAACTCTTTCCATCGAGACTCATAGTCGGCTTTTGAGATTGACAATAATTGCGACCATATGAAAAGTAGAGTGACTACTTACGTATACACACATCACCAACAGTACCAGCCTCTTGTTCAGATATATCGTCCGGTCATCAGGTAGCCAAAGTGGGGGGCTTGTGATTTCCCCAAATTCATCGTCAGTGTGCCTCACCTGGAAGTGGAAATACTCGTTCAGGAAACAACGTGAACCAACGGAACAAGATGGGAAAGAAGTAGATAGACAGAAAGAGAAGAAAATGCGGGCATGCGCGTGACTGGCGAGAAAGAGCAAACGACCAAACGGGACGCGCGACATGAGATGAGAGACAATTGGCTGCAGGATCCCTCCCTCCGCTGCCTGCCGCTGCGCTGACCGAACCTGCCTTCACTTCACTTCATCTCACT